AGATGCCAGCTCCTAGTTGCCAAAATTACTACCAAAAATGGCTTACAAGTTCCTAGACCACACAGAAGTATTGCACAGTGTTTTGATGAGATTTGTTCTCACTGGAGAGGCAGGGGTGGCCCTGAGATAAAAGCAACCACTTCCCAAGACTGATTGTAAGTGACATTATTCATTTAGGAAAGCTTTCCTCTTTTTCTTTCCATTTTTTTTAATTTTATTTTATTTCCAGTCTATGAAGATGATAACAAAGGATGGTATGTCTCCAGAGCACACTCTGATGTGTCACTGTGGATGCCAATCCCCACAGACGCTCCCAATGTTATTAATTTTTAAAACAAACTTGCTGATTGAGGTTCTGACTGTCTTTAAATTGTCTCTACAAGGAGACTGTGTACTAATTAACCCACAGAAACAATCAGTGATGTACCTTTTTCAAGTTTCAGAGTGATTAGAATATGAAAATGAAGAGCACAATGGTGCAGATGTTTTAAAATCACAGCAGACAGCAATTAGTGACATGGGAACCAGCTGCTTATCTCTCCAGATAAAGCCTCTTAATAGGGAATTACACTTGAGGAGCCATTACACAGATGGATCTGCGAATGATTTAAAGAGGGGGTGTTATAGTATTAACTTTGATTTGCAAGCCAGATTCTTGACAAGCTTTATGTGCATTACTTCCTCAAAAAGGTGTGTTTGAAGGAAGGGGTTTCATCCCCTGCAAGCGATCAGATTTTTCTCAGGTGATGGGTTTCTCTAGTGCTGTATTTTATCATTGTTTTAAATTATTTTTTTTTTATTATTATTATTTTACTAAGCTCTTGATTTGATTGCTGGCATCTCCTCCCACTTCTTGTTTTGGGACTGGAAGCAGCATGTGGATTTAGATAGAAGCTCAGGCAAGGGAATGGGGAGGCAGAGTGAGACATCTAGTAGTTGAATATAAAGAGTCCCTGAGGGATGTATTCTGCTGCTGGGTACTGCTTGCAAAGGAGGGTGCTGCTCACCATGGGACTGATGCAGTCTCATCCTCTCAATTGAAAGGACTGTATGCCAGAATAAAGCTGTTATGAGGAGTAACCACGTCTGCAGGCACAGGGTTGCAGAGGTCTGGCAAGGCAGGTAAACACACAGTCCCACCTCCTCTGCTCTCTGGCCAGCATTCTGTAGCTGATAGTGTACGGGATGTATCCTGCTCATAGGTCTACACACCATTGCCAAAGCTGAGGACTGAAACTCATGACTCTGGCATTAAAATTGTATACTACTAGTAATGGATTCAGAATTTATATTTTTATTCTAAAATTTACCATGCGCTGGATCATGTTACTTAAACTTGCAGTTACAAAAACTATTAGCTTTGTTATGTATATTTCATATTCTTAAAAGGAAAGATGGGATTATTACACACTAAGCACATCCAGCAAACTGAATACCAAGAGAAATACTGACCAAGTCTGGCGAGATGTGATAAAATTGCATGGGCTCAGTTATGCTTCTAGTTTCACAAGAGAAGAAGGAGCAGGCTCCCAGCGCAAAATAGCTAGCTGCTGAAGAAAATCCCATTTAATGAAAGGGCAAACTACAAACAGAGGCAGGCGCTGAAGTTTTAAGTATTTTTAGGGTCTTATAAACCGAAAAGTAAATAAAGCTAAATCTTTCCGTTTTCATGAAAAAGGCCACTATTCTGGATGCTGTTCTTGGCTGTGCTGCCTATACAACCAGTGCCAGTGTCTAACCACCCTTACAGAGAAAACTTTTTTCCTAATATCTAATCTAAACCTCCCCTCCAAAAGTTTAAAGCTGTTCCCAATTGCCCTGACTCTACAGGCCCTTGTCAAAAGCCCCTCTCCAGATTCCTTTTTGGCCCTTTAGGCACTGGGAGCTGCTCTAAGGTCTTCCCAGAGCCTTCACTTCTCCAGGTTGAACAAGCCTGTCTCACAGAAGTGCTCTAGCCCTCTGATCATCTTTGTGGCCCACCAGTAGGACCACTGAGATCAGACATCAATCCAGGTGGATGCACAGGGAAAAAAATACATTAGGCTGCATTACTTCAACTGATTTAATAGTGCTTTTAGATAAACTGTCTCTACATATATATTGTAGCCAGTGAAACCCACCCTGCTGCAGCCAAATGATCTCTGGCTGCTGTGCTACAAAGTTGTTTTGGAGTGATATGGTCATGTCTGGCAAGGTAAAGCAAATAGTAAATGTTATGCTGGAAGAACTAGCATGACGAAACCAGTGGACTGTTATGCGCTTGGGCAGATACACAGTTTTGACATCCCGCTTAGAAAATGGAGTCCCTTTATACTGTAGACTGGTCATTTTTTGAATGCCTGTTGAAGTGGGAGTGCTTATACGTGTGATTAAATGCCTCCAGAGTTGGCACCTTTGATGACATAGGCGTATCTTTCTCATGAATTTTAAGATAGATGTTGTGGTGGCCCGCGGTGCTGCAGTAATGACAAGACTATCATTAGGGATATGCTGGAAATTGCATCATCATTTTATAATGTACAGGCCAAAGAAATGAAGCTAGAGGAGCCAAGCAATATATCAGCATTTATCTTTCTTTGATATATAGCTGGCCTCACAGTTCTGAGCCCTTATTAACAGCCTTAAAAAATAGAGCAGAGATTACTGCTACTTTTAAACTAGAGATCTCTCTGTATGTGGTGCACTTGGAGGACTGGGGTGTTGCCCGTGTATGATGTTTGCACTCACTGCTGAAAACCTTTTTTTTATTTTTTTCCTTGCAAATGAAATTTTTCAGGTCATTTAGTTTCATAGCTCAGCATTTTGGAAATAATGTGGGTATAAAGAGTTGCTTTGATGGCAGCCCTAAGGCTAGGATCTGTGCAGAAACAGCCTGGCAATGCCTTTGTGTGGGTTCTGGGGGCCATAAGAAGCCTCAGCCCACCATTTCCAAAGCATGGTACCTCAGGAAGATGATGTTTCTTGTGAGGCTTGTGTAGGGTACACCCACTTCCATCCCCTCACCAGGGGATGACACCTCCTGCATACCTCCTTATGAGCAACTGACACCTGGGAGCAGGAGAAGCCTCAAATGGCTGAGGTAGAATGAAGATCATGAGCTTTGTCATCAGTTGAAAAAACCCCAAAACCATAAAATCTAACTATCATAATTTGATGCCAGTACTGTTGAATTCCAACCCTCTCTGGCCTCATCCCAAGGATATGGACATGGGTGGGCTCCATCTTCCGAAGGAGGGCATCAGCGACATGGGTCGTGGCTGCTGTGCGCTGTGTGGCTCATGCATAGGAGGCCGCTGTGAGGAGGAGTAGGAGTAAGAGGAACAACTGATTCATTCCCCAAGGGCTGTTTATGCTTTCGGCTCTTTTCTCAGGCTAAAGAAACTGGGTGTCGCTTGCCCGCGACATCTGCAGCTCCACCGCAGCTGCGTGCTTTCATTTTCTCACTCCACAATTCCTGGAAATCTCTGCTTTCCCTGAACATGGCTGGTCCATGTGCACACCAGCTGAGCTATCCGCAGGATTTAAGAGTCCCTGTTTACTCCTCAGATGATGGATCAGAACAGTTTCATTGTTATTGCCCATTCCAGAAAAGCCACATGCCCATTTTTATATGCACATGAAGGGTATCTCAACATCAGTTTGACAATAACATGTATATTTACTGTTCTCCAAATAAGGTACGATGGGCTTGGGGGTGTTCAGCGCTTTTCTTATGCCTGTGACTTTGCTCAGAGCTATGGTAGCCTCATTTTCCAGCTCAAGACCCTCTTATGCTGACAGCCTCCTTGCCCGAAGTCTTCTTTTGCAAACACCCCAGACAGGGATCTAGCGTAATGCTTCTGGTAGAAACTTAATTGTACCAGAGTGTTTGCAGAAACATGAGACACTTTTAGCAGTTTTTTTCTATTGTTCTTTCCTTAGTTACACATATATTTTAAGTGTCTCATCATTTATTTGGCACTCAGAACAGTGTCATTACAGTTTGTTAACAACAGTTGTTTACAGCACTAGGTGTACAAATCAGTTGCACAGTTTGATCCAGAGCTTTACAGAACATCCTCCTAAATGTAACAGGAGAAAACAAATGGATAAAAGAGGTCAGTTAACTAAAGTAAAAGCAATAAGTTTTGTTTTTTTTTATTTTCAGAGACTTATCAAATAGTTATGGCTGCAGCAAATATAATTTCTTCAGCTGAAGGAGGCTTACCAAGAAAAAAAAGTAGACTTTCTTTTCCTCTGTAAGAGCCTTCAGTATAATTCTGCCCTTATTGTAACCTCTGCAGCTTGAAAAGCTGCTGTCAGATTAAAAATCATATTGAAAATATCTCTTACCAACATTGCAAATAGCAGATTATTAAAATGGAAAGGGAGTAATGCAAATCTTGAAACTGCCAAGTGTGTCTCACACACTCCATGCTATGCATATGATTTTAAGCACTAAGTTTGTGGGGATGACTTCTATGTGGAAATTTTATCAAGCAAATCTTTGCTGTTTCTGGATTCACAGGGAAGTGAACCCACAGGATTTCCTCTTGTTTGTTACAACTTCCGAGATAATTCTGCATTTTTTCTTGTTTACAACAATAAGCTTAATTGCTGTTGTTGAGCATCAAGTTGTGTGAGGGATTATTTTTTAGGGAAAAGGGATTCTCACCAGGAGGTTGAATTGCATCATTCATCCATTGAAAGGAAATAATTTACTTGTGGTTTAAATTAAAAATCAATAGAATATGTTTCCTTAGCAATTTTGCATTTGTAGAAATATTTCCATTGTTCTTAGAGTGGGAAAGCAAAACAAAATTTGTTTACGTTGCAAGAATCTAAATACAAATTAAGTATAAGTATAAAGTATAAGACTTTATAAAGGCTCCTAACCCTTACAAGGGCATGTGTTAAGAATAGTTGTCATTTGCTGTACAAATAAAAAGCTGCAACCAGGGGTTATGAATGGACTGATAAACTAATATTTTCTTTTCTGTTTATTTTCTGCTGCCTTCCAGGTTTATGAAAGGCCACAAAAACATTCTGCTCTACACTATGATCCGGGCCTCCAACAAGACTTCACCGGTGACACCTTAAAATCAAAGCACCAGCAGAAAAGTAGCAACCAGCACCACCTTGACTGGTCAATGAGCTCCGACACAGGATCCACTTCTCAAAGTTGCTTCATGAACACAGAACCCAGTCGAGAAGCAATTAGTGCCACCAAGGTATCCACTCCAGAACCAGGAGTTTCCTTCAGCAAATCCCAAGCAAAGAAGTCCTGTGCCAGCAGCACATGGGGGCAGCTGTCAGCCAGTAGTAAGGAGCTTGCCATTTGCAGTGCAGTCCCATCACCCAACAACATCAGCGTGGCCACCCAGCCCAGCAGTGCCTCTGAGTGCAACGGGCTTTTGCCACTTGGTGATCCGGAAGGAAGCATGCAGCTGGAGGTCCCCGATCAGCCCACTGGGAATATAAAGAAGAAGTCCAGCAAAAAGGACTTGTTAAGTCAAACAATCCAAACCACAGACATCGAATGGGTGAAGAGTGCTCAGAAAGCATTTGACAGCAAACCTCATGACAGTATGGAAGGGAAAAAGGAGTCTTACTCGATGGAAAGTCTATTGGATACATCACCCTTGAAGCAGAATCCCGCTTCTGCTAGCAGTTGTGAAAGTGACACCAGTCATGTACGAATTACTATCCCAATAAAGTCTCCGACAACAGATGCATCTGGCCACAAAAGGAAAAAAAGGCAATCCACAAAATCTATTGAGAAAACTATCCAGGAGAAAAGTCTACCTCCTGGGCTTGCTATGAGCAGTGAAGTAGCAAACAGGACTATCTCTCAACCAGAGGGCAGTAAAAAGGATCTTAGAGCCACAAAGCCAGGGAAAGTGATTGAAAATGAGTCCCCCTTAGCAGCTATTGACAGCGGCATGCTTACTGACAGAGCTTCCCCCAACAGTGCCACCAGACTCAGAAAACCATTAGCTCTGACATCCACTCTCCTACCTACCGATCTTCCCACAGCTGGCAAATTAGCTGAGGTCCAGCACCCCAAACATGCAGCTAAGCGGCGATGGACCTGCAGCAAGCCTAAATCTATCCTTCGGGAGACCTCCATGACAACATCTGAGAAGCTGATGGTGGAGCCTCCTTCAGCCTATCCCATCACACCATCCAGCCCTCTGTATACCAATACTGACAGTCTTACTGTGATCACACCAGTCAAGAAAAAAAGAGGACGACCAAAGAAACAGCCTCTGCTCACTGTTGAAACCATTCATGAGGGGACCTCCACCAGCCCAGTGAGTCCAATCAGTCGTGAATTTCCAGGAACAAAGAAAAGGAAGAGGAGACGGAATCTAGCCAAGTTGGCCCAGATGGTTCCAGGAGAGGACAAGTCAATCAGTGAACTTAAGTTTCATAAAAAGGTCGGGAAGCTTGGGGTCTTGGATAAGAAAACTATCAAAACCATTAATAAAATGAAGACCCTCAAGAGGAAGAATATTCTCAATCAGATCTTGTCCTCCTGCTCCAGCAGCATAGCTCTGAAGGCAAAAGTCCAGCCACCCTCTAGTGCTGGGCCAACCACCATCGATGCCAGACTAGGGAAGCAGATCAATGTCAGCAAGAGGGGGACAATCTATATTGGCAAAAAACGGGGCAGAAAGCCAAGAGCAGAGCTGCAGCCTCAGACAGAAGAACCTAAGACAGCCATCAAGCACTCAAGGCCTGTTTCCAGCCAGCCAGAAAACCCAGCAGTGCCTTCCAACCTGCAGTCACTTGTGGCATCGTCACCAGCAGCTATTCATCCGCTTTCGACACAGTTAGTCGGGACTAATGGCAACCTTAGCCCTGCAAGCACTGAAACTAATTTTTCAGAGCTAAAAACTATGCCAAATCTTCAACCAATCAGTGCTCTTCCTACAAAAACCCAGAAAGGAATGCACAGTGGAACTTGGAAGCTGTCTCCACCCAGGTTAATGGCTAATTCACCTTCCCACCTCTGTGAAATAGGTTCTCTGAAAGAAGTCACGCTGTCTCCGGTGAGTGAGTCTCACAGTGAAGAAACCATACCGAGCGACAGTGGGATAGGTACAGACAACAACAGCACTTCTGACCAAGCTGAGAAAAGCTCAGAGTCCCGCCGGAGATACTCCTTTGATTTCTGCACCCTGGACAATCCAGAGGCTATCCCATCTGACACCAGCACAAAGAACAGGCATGGTCACCGGCAGAAACATCTCATTGTGGATAACTTTCTCTCTCATGAGAGTATTAAAAAGCCAAAGCACAAGAGGAAAAGGAAAAGCCTGCAGAACAGAGATGACCTCCAGTTTCTGGCAGACCTTGAGGAACTCATCAATAAGTTTCAAGTGTTCAGGATTTCCCATAGAAGTTACACATTTTATCATGAAAATCCATATCCCAGCATCTTCAGGATTAATTTTGATCACTACTACCCTGTGCCATATATCCAGTATGACCCATTGCTCTATCTTCGCAGGACCTCTGACATGAAGTCTAAGAAGAAGCGTGGTAGACCTGCCAAAACCAATGACACCATGACAAAGGTGCCTTTTTTACAAGGGTTCGGTTACCCTATTCCCAGTGGGAGTTACTATGCACCCTATGGAATGCCTTACACATCAATGCCTATGATGAATCTTGGTTACTATGGTCAGTATCCAGCTCCTTTGTACCTGTCTCACACGCTCGGAGCGGCTTCCCCATTTATGAGACCGACCGTGCCCCCTCCCCAGTTCCATGCAAGCTCTCATATGAAGATGTCCACCACTGCCAAGCATAAAGCGAAACATGGAGTGCACCTGCAAACACCTGTGGGAATGGGCCTTGGAGACATGCAGTCCTCTTTGGCTCCTCCAAAGGTGGCAGGAACAAGCCTTTCAAGTGGCCGACTTCACAAGAGGAAACACAAACATAAGCACAAGCATAAGGATGAACGGATATTGGGGACTCATGAAGATCTGAGTGGTCTCTTTGCTAGCAAGCCCACTAGCTTCTCTAGCCATGCGATCAATGAAAGGCTAAGTGGCTCAGATAAAGACCTCTCCTTGCTGAGCGAGAAAAGCAAGCATAAGGAGAAGCAGAAGCACCAGCATTGTGAAACCGGACACAAAGGCTCAAAGAGTAACTTTGAAGTGGATACGCTGTCTACGTTATCACTTTCTGATGCCCAGCAGTGGACACAGAGTAAAGATAAAAACGACTTAAGCAATGATCCCATTGACTCTTGCACAAAGAGATACTCTGGTAATACTGAGAGTAATGGAAGGTCAGAGTCCCTGGACATGTTTGGTGAAATGAATTCCTCAAGTGAGAAGCGGGACAATGATTCAAGTGGGAATAAAAGAAGAAGCTTTGAAGGGTTTGGAACCTACAGGGAAAAGGACATTCAGCCCTTCAGAACAAATAGAAAGGATAGAAGTACTTACGATTCTTCAGCCTCTTCAGGTAAGCTCTACTTTATTCTATTTTACCTTATCGCGTTTAAGTTTTAATGCTGAACAAAGATGTACTTCCCATTTACAGCAAATATTTTTGAGCCAATAACTTATTATTTTTTTTGTATTTGACTCTCATTCTGCATCCAGACTTTGGGGAGATTGACAAGAACACGGCCATACGTTAAGGCAGCATTAAGCCAAAACTTCTTAAAGTCTTTGACTTCTTACAGAGCTTTTTTCTAAACACTTGTTTAGCCTTTGCTTATATCTCATAGCTTGTTGTGCTTCCTCCAAAAATCTCACCATTGCAATCCACAGCAGCAGCAATTGTAAATCCTGTTGGCAAGGTAGGCATCCCTCTTATTGGTGTCTAATATCAGGGGGTGGTAGTCATTGCCCAGCCTTTGGAAGAACAGCCATGGTACTGAGCAGAGAGTCTGCTGTGGCCCACGGAGCGCACAAAAGCCATTTGTTAATGGGATGGACCAGACATGTGGGAAGTTGTGGAGCTGACAATGTCCCATGACTGGTGTGATGTACTGCTGATCCAGAGGGAACCATCATGGTGATAGTTGGGCTGAATGTATGGAAACACCAAGTATAATCCTAGTCTAAATCTGTCACTTGCAGACGGCAGGTGTCATGTAAAGTAATCATCCTGAGCTTTGAGTGGCTGTGGGAAGGGACTGGTGTCATGGAAACAATAAACCCTTGACAATTGACTCTGAAAAGTTTTGAGAGTCATGACTTAGCTATATAAGCTGAGTAGATGAGGAGGGAGGAAGCTCTTTTAGATTCCTAAGGACATCTGTTCCTCTCCTGCAGAGGGGGAAAAAAAAGGAATCTGAATCTTGTCTGAGACTGCATTGTACTTTACAATGGGGAACTGCTTTTGTGATGACACATAGGCAGGTGTTTTGCTGCAATATAAATGAATTTAGCTTGGGTGCAAGCCCAGAGCTCCTGCACCATCAGATATTTGTCACAAAGCAGATTTCACACTTGGTTCTGGAAAAGGGTGAGCTTTGTTGCACCAGCCTGGAGTGAATGAGAGTCTGATTTGTTAAAAAAGAGCTTCAAAGAGGTGTAATTCATAGCCTTCAAAATGAAAAGAGAATCAACTGAGAACATAGAAGGAGCAGAGAATTTGTGTAACCTACTAATGCAAGGCTCTTCAGTTTTGTATTGACTTGTAACTGATTGAGATTCAAAGACTGTTCATGCTTAAGCCCACCTAGACATTTCCTTCATTAAGACCAGAATCTGGATTATAACAATGAAAAGCACTCTAAAGTGAGAGCTTATCCCATGAAAATACTCACATTCATGATACCATATTATATCAGACCAACTGTGATACCTGGAAATATTGGAAAAGAGGCTGAATTCAGTCACCGGTTTTATCAAAGTTGCTGCATGCCTGATAAAGAACAAAATTATTCTCCATGAAGTGCTGCAGTGCTTATTGCACTGAGGAAGTTGTGCCCTATCCAATAAGGGTTAAAAGTCTTCAAAATTTTTAGCAAGTCTATTTCTCAGCTTTTAGTGGAAGTTGCTGATTTCACAGTTTGATAATAGTTGGATTTGTAGCCTTTTTTCTTTCTGAAGAGAAGATGTATTCTATTTCCCAATGTAATATATTTCACATTGGTGTAACAAATTGTCCAGACAGAATTCTCTGAA